CCGGCTAAACAAGCCTCCGAGCTGTCTCAAGCCCTAATTTGCTGGCAGACGTCTGTGTTACTGACAGTCTTTCACAGCTCGGTCTCTGGGCTGGGGTTTTCAGGCCCATGGCTTGCAGAGGTTAAACTTGTATCGAAGAGAGGGTAGTTCCGGTGGCTTTGACAAGTCCTGGCAGCAGAATCATCAGGGAAGACTCAGTGGCCACATAAGCAAAGTGCTGCCAGGACTAAAAAAAAGGTGTGGGTAGCTTGAGGTAGAGATATATGGGGGAAAAAGCAGGCTTGATGATAACTGCTCCTTTAAAGGACTGCACAGAATTAGTATTGTCTGTGTCCACCTTTTATTTCAAAGTGAGGACGTGGTTGGTCAAGTTTTCTTTACTTGTGGTTAAATCCAGCGTGAACAATTTTGAAGTATTGTGCTCTGACTGTATCCTAAACGCCTTCCTAAAAGGTGTCCTTTCTGGCTCACTGTGTCCCTCGCTGGCAGAGGGGCTCCTTCCAGGGCTCCCCTCCCAGCTCCCGCGGGGCTGGAAGAGCCGTACCGTGCTGCCCTTGACCAAAGCCGTCTGGAAGGTGCTACCAGCCAGCGTCAGCTTTGGTGCTTTCAAAGTTAATTTCTTGCTCCTCCTTGGAATGCAAACAGTGGCCTTTCTGCTGCTCGCATTGAAGTGTAGTTCTTTAAAGATTTGATTCCAGATCACAGCTTTAGCTTTTTGACTTGATTTTAGGGTGGCAAAAGAGCCCTAGGTAACAAGTCCACTTTTTGATCCAATTTGTTGGTGGCTTCCTTTGCCCTCCAGGAGCGTGCAGAGTTGAACCCCATCCCGTCAAAAACAGTCCGAGCCGGTGTCGTACCTACCATGCATCATGGGCCGAAGCCCAAGGTGGCAACGAGCCGGGGACTTGGGCGCTGCCTCCAAGCATGCTGTATGTGCAGCGGAGCCCCGGCCAGCTCCGTGTCTGGCTGGCTGGCAAGGGGCTGCTGTGGCAAATGGTTAGCCACCCGAGGGTCAGCCCATGCCGGGGAATCACCTGCCTGCATGAGTTCTTCCAAAGCAGGGAGGCTGATGCCCTGGGGTGAGCGCTAAGCAAAACCCATTTTATTCTAGAGTCAATATTGTCCACTGCCTGGAAAGCTGCCAACCTGCTCTGCGCTCGCCCTTTTCTTTCCAACGGGGAACGTCTTTCAGCCTCTAAGCATCTGATTAAAAAAGCAACTTCACTTTTCAAACCATTTTATTTTGTTTGGGATGGATGCC